TAGTAGCTTGAAGGAGGACCTTGTTAATTGTATTACTGAAAACATTCAGTGTTAAAATTTTTGCTGTCAGTAACAATTTGTCCTCTTCTCCAGGACCTGAGTGTGGGCCTAAGTTAAATGCATAGCCTGGAGTGAAATGATCTAATGAAGTGAACTCCTGATGGAAAGATCATTCTTGTTGACATCATGCTAGCCTCCTGTTAGAGTTGGACTCAGCTCTGTCTGCTATAGGAGTGGGTGATTTCATCATCTCTCTGGATGGCCTTGCTATTTGTCACTGCCTTGACTCCCTCGCAAGTCCTAAGTCTGTTTAGGGATGACCTCGTTTATTTGACAGACAAGGAATCCCCAAACCTGGGCTAGGTTCTGGGGATGCAAAGTGAATTTTAAGACATAGTTACTGTCCTTTTAAGGAGCCTAGTAGGATTCTAGTAAGGGGACAGGTGTGAAAACAAGAGTCCTGAAGTGTTAGGACCTGTGACAAAAATCTGTGCAAGGGTCCTGGGAGCCTTCAGAAGGTCTAATGTGGTAAATTCCCTAGGGAAGGGTGAAAAGCTAATGTGTATAGTATTTATGCATAGAAAAAAGTTAAAAGTTAATGGTTACCTCCTAAATATGGAACTGCAGGTCATTTTCTTGTGTTTCTAATTTCTTTTTCAATAGAAAAATTTTTTTAGAAGAACAAAAGCTGCAGTTTAAAAAAGAAACCCTGGCACTTTTTTTTTTTTTAATTGCAGAAATTGGCTAATTCCCTTATGAATTTAAGAGGGAACTAACTGAGTGGCTCTTTTGTGCTAAGTTTGGTGCTTTAAAACAATCTCATTTAATCCTCAGTAATGGCCTTGAATGGCTTCAACTTCATTTTGCAAATGGGGACATTGAAGCTAAAAAAAAAATTGACAAAATCATCCAAATAGTTACTCTTAATAGCCTCAGCTAGAATTTACATCCTAGTCTCCAAACGCTGAGGAGCTTACGCTCTCCTCTCCTGGTTTTCCAGGCCTTTCTGGAAGGGGAAGTTGTTGAAGTTGGCTGGTTTAAGCCCTCCTTAATTCTGTTCTAGTATTTCTTGTGTTGTGCCAGGCACAGTAACTTGAACCCAGAAGGTTTTTGAATAGAAATGTGCCTACAGGGCCCTAGTGCATCTGATGGATCGGACCACAGGACCCCTCCAATTAAATATTCAGAGTTCACCTTAAAAACCTTCATTAAACACGAGTATTAGTAATGTTTTGGATGTTACTCTTTTGTTAGTAAGTTGTAGTTATATATATATATTTTTAAAAAATTTATTTAAATTTGTTTTATTTCTGGCTGCGTTGGGTCTTCGTTGCTCTGCGCGGGCTTTCTCTAGTTGCGACGAGTGGGGGCTACTCTTCTATGCTGTACGCGTTCTTCTCTTTACAGTGGCTTCTCTTGTTGCAGAGCACGGGCTCCAGGCATGCGGGCTTCAGTAGTTGTGGCACGTGGGCTCAGCAGTTGTGGCTCATGGGCTCTTAGAGTGCAGGCTCAGTAGCTGTGGTGCGCAGGCTCGGTAGTTGTGGCTCGCGGGCTCTAGAGCGCAGGCTCAGTAGTTGTGGCGCACGGGCCCGGTGGCTCCGCTCCGCGGCATGTGGGATCCTCCCAGACCAGGGCTCGAACCTGTGTACCCTGCATTGGCAGGCGGATTCTCAACCATTGCGCCACCAGGGAAGTCCACACTGTAGTTATATTTTAATAAGACTGCCTGAACTCAGCATATAAATGGATATGTTGTCCCATTTCTTTTGCAAATGAGCTGAGCAAATGGGTGAAATGAAAATGTTGAATTTAGATAATTTCAAAGATTCCTTCCTTTCACTCACAATATTGTGTCAACCTGTTAATTAACTTAGAAGATGCTGTTTCGAGAGTTTTTAGTATTTTTTTAATACCTCTCTCTTTTTTAATTAAAAAAATTTTTTTTTAGTGCCTCTCTGCCAGGTTCTAAGGAAGTCACAGAACTATAGACCCTGATAGCAAAATCATAGAGAATAGTTTTTATTTTAGAATTTGACCCTGCCCCCTAGAAAGAGAGGACTTTTAAGACCTAATTGCTGTAATCCATCCAGGCTGCACTTCCAGGGGTAGTGATTTATGCCTTTCTTTTAACTACCACCAGCTGAGCTGTCCTGGCCACCTTCACAATCTGTTTTCTCAAAGCTTCTCAAAACTCTTTTTCTCCTACTTTGGTTTTCTTTTTTTGCTAAGCTTTCTCTTTGTCTAATGTGACAACCTAGGCAGACCTTCAGTTTCATTTTTAATAACTTTTTCTGATAATAAATGATTCTTTTATTGAATATAGTTGATTTACAATGTTGTGTGATTATAAATGTAATTCTTGATCATTAGGAAACATGGAAAATATAGAACAGTAGAAAGATAACCACAGTGAACTTCCTTGTGTATAGTATTTTTTGTAGAGTTGAACATGATTTTATTTTCTTCACTTTAACATATCCTAAAACATCTCTCCGTGTCATTGAAAACTAATGATTTTAAATGACAGTATATTATGTATGTGATTATGTTGAGCCATTCTCATATAGTTGAGCATCTTTTATTGAGGAATGTTTTGCTACGTTCCTGAGTGTTTCTTTAGGATAGAATCTTGAGAGTGAAATTAGTGGTCTTAGAGCACAGACTTTTCTAAGGCTTTTATTATGGTTACAGTTCTTTGCAGAAAGTGTTTCAGTTTAAAGTATATCTAAGTAGCTCTGTGTATTATTGCTAATTTGATCAAGGCAAAAATTAATGTGTTGTTTTGACTTTTTAGTTGGTCAAACAGAGCATTAATTCTAACTGAGTCTCAAGAAATAGTTAAAATCAGTGTTTTAGACGGAGTATTTTGGGGAAGTTCTGTGCAGTGTAAGTAGAATTTTGGCATTTTTGCTAGCGGCCATCTCCAGTGTAATGATTCTTACGTAACTTTTTTGTTGTTAATACATAATTCTTTGAAGTAAAATCTGGTGGAAATTAGGGACCTTCTCCTTCAAAAAATGCACTTACGCATATAATTCTGCATTTTATTTCAGTAGTCATTGGACCCTCTGAAGACCGTCCCTGGATCTCGGGCTAAAAATCTGTATTCTAATCTGAACTGTGTGAAGAAGGGCTAGCTGGTGAGTCTTGGTAAACCAGAGTGCTGGATTTTGTGTAGCGGATTCCTGAACATACTGGATTTACTGGGTAATGCCAAGTTGAAAGGGAAGCAAGCCAAACTCCCAAGTATTAGGTTTTGCTAATTGGGCAGCTCAGACTGAGTGCTGGGAGCGATTGCGTGGTCTGACGTGTCATTAATAGAGTTCCGTTGAAACATGAGTTAAGTAGTCTTTTTAAAAAATAAGTACAGACATATTAAGTATGCCTAGTGTTTGGCAACTTTCCGCTCACCTTGAATGTATCTTTAGAAAACATTGCCCCCTCCCCCGACATGATCGCTCTGTATTTTCCCCTGTTTCCTTGCTGTTTTTGTTCTGTGGCTCAGTCTCTGCTTCATGGCTTATCGTGACTATTAATGGTTGTGCAGCCCTGTGAAGCAGCGTGGGGAGGGCTGGTTCTAGGGCCGGTGCTGGTGGGATGAGAGAAGCTATGAAGCTGAAATAATATGTAAATAGATTTGAATAAATGCCAGTTTGCTCAGTGATATTTAGGATTTATTACTAAACTTTTTAGCTCATTGTACCAACAGTTTGATGTTCTCTAGCTCCTAATTGCCTTTTTCTCATTTAAATAGTTGCTTTTGTGGTGCAGTTTTTTCTGGGGATTAATTTTATAGAAACAGCCATCCTAGCAGAGTAGATGGTTTCTCGTGGGAGTTGTACCTTTTCATCTCATACGTTTTGTTTTGTTTTTGGTCTGTTTTACTTACTGTAAAAGCTCTTCAAAGGCTATTTGTTATAAATGAAAAAACTTTTTTCCCCATCTTTTTACCTTTCACCTTTGTTTATGATAATTTTGACCTATAGAAGTTTTAGATAATTGTGGCTGAATAACTGATTTTTACCTTTTGTAGTTTCTGTCTTTAAACTTAAAAAGCCTTTCCCATCCCCCAAGAAATCACTTTTTCCTCCGCACCCTTATTGTTTTTGCTTTAGGATGGTCCTGTTATCTTTGTAGAAACCAAATTCTTCCCTAATTTCCTCACTCTTTACACAAGGGCCAAGTAGATATGCAAAGTAGTTCTCAGTCCCTCTGTCGCCTCCCCCATGACTACCCCCTGGGCAGCCGGCTTCTCTGATTTGGTCTCTTCCCCTTGGCTCTAATCTGTGATCCAGCTGAGAGTCTTACACCCCCGCATAAATAGCTTTTGAATGGTTGTTCAGCTCTTTAGGCCCTGTGCTGTTCAGCCTTGCCTGACTGCCTCAGAGAGCATCAGGTGGTACTGAAGGGTGTTCGTGAAAAGTAAAAGCCCTTCTGCTTTTTATTCTTATTGCTGTTCTCTTAGACTTCTAGCCCCGAGCACTTTGTGCACATCCCACTTGTTGGGGTTTAATGTCAGTGTTCATATACTTGTTCCCTTTGTTGGCCTTCAGGCTCCCCAAAGGCAGAGGTTGTCTTAGTTCTCTTTTTTGTTTTTTCATATTGTTTTAGTTTTTTAATTAAAAATTTAAATACAATTTTTTTTTTTGCGGTACGCGGGCCTCTCACTGTCGTGGCCTCTCCCGTTGGCGGAGCACAGGCTCCGGACGCGCAGGCGCAGCGGCCATGGCTCACGGGCCCAGCCGCTCCGCGGCATGTGGGATCTTCCCGGACCGGGGCACGAACCCATGTCCCATGCATCGGCAGGCGGACTCTCAACCACTGCACCACCAGGCAAGCCCTACATACAATTTTTAAAGGTTACTTTTCATTTACAGTTATCACCTTAGTTAGTTCTCTCTTTATTTTTCTGATTCTTTGGTAAATGTTGAACACATAGTTCACGGGTTGACATCTGTCTGCTCTGGGAAGGTTCTTATTCTCTACACCTTCTCTTTTCTTTGGACAGGTTGGTGATATTCCTACTTGAAGGACATCATGTTTTCCAAACTAGCACGTTTGCAGACTGTTGCTGTCCTTCGTGGATTTCATTCTTCAGTGGCTTCTGCTACATCTGTTGCAACTAAAAAAACAGTCCAAGGCCCTCCATCCTCTGATTACATTTTTGAACGGGAATCTAAATATGGTGCCCACAACTACCACCCTTTACCTGTAGCCCTGGAGAGAGGGAAAGGTATGTTCCAACCCTTCCCACCCCCGCCCCTTTTACTTGCTTTACATTTTTGTAAAAGTTGCTTTTATATTTTCTCACTATATATTTTTCCAGATGCATTTAATTTCTATATTGCAGATACGATTAATTCAACATTTTTGAGTGTCTGTTGCTTGCTGTGTTAGGTACTGTGGGGACTACAAAGTCATGATGGACCTTGCCAGGAGGGAATGTATGATACATAAATAAAGTACTGTAATATTGCTGTCATTTTTTCCTTTAACTTTTATTTTGGCATAACTTTAAACTTAAAACTGCAACATCAGTATCTAAATTTCTCTTTTACTCTTCACCCAGATTTCCCAAGCGCTAACAGTTTTACCACATTTGCTTAATCTTCTTTTTCTCTCCAGACACACATACACAATACATTTTTTTTCCTGAACTTGTTTGAGAGGAAGTTGCAGACATGATGCCTCCTTACCCCTAAATACTTAGTGTGCCTTTCCCGAAATACAAGGACTTTCTCTTACATAACAAAGTGTAAGTATCAAAATCAGGAAATTAACATTGACACAGCACTATTCTCTAATCTACAGCCCTGAGCTGCATTTCACTTGTTGTCCTGAGTAGCAAAAGAAAATCTCAGATCGTGGGATGCATTCAGTTTTCAGGTCTGTTTAGTCTAATCCAGAACAATTCCTCAGTCTTTGTCTTCTTGACCTTGATATTTTTGAAGAGTACAGGTCAATAATTTTTTGTATAAACCTCAATTTGGGGTTGACTGGTAAGGTAGTGTCTGCCAGGCTTCTCCATTGTAAAGTTCTGTTTTTCCCTTTTAAATGTCTTGTGGAGACATGATTTGAGACTGCAAATATCCTGTTACTCATCAAATTTTTGCTCCCACTTTTAGCATCCATTAATGATTCTTACCTGAATAAATGATTACTGATTGTTGCCAAATGGTGATTTAATCCACATTTTGAAATAACAACCATAGCCAAATAAAGCCAAAGTTTATTACTTAGCTTTTGGCCAGAAGATGATGCATAAGAGTATTAAACATTTTAATCATTTGCCTGTATTTTTTTATTTGGGACCAGTACTGTAGTGTAGATAAAGCTCCTTCTGAACAAATGAAAATCTAGGTTTATATATTACAAAATTGGAAGCAGTTTGGTTTGCAAAAGTATTCTTTACTTACAGTAGCGGAGTGCGCTCTAGAATCTGACTGCCTGGATTCGAGTCCTGGTTGCATGTGTGCCAGCTGGGGCTAGTTATAATCTAAGCATCTACTCTGTACTATAGGGATGGTAACACTCATAGGGGGTTTTTGATGAGATAAGGGACAAAAGCACCTACCACAGTATGTTAAGTACATGGTAAAAATTAGGTGTTAAGCCCCTAATACATTTTAATATCTATGATCAGCTTAAAAAAATTGTTGTAAAATGTACATGACATAAAATTCACCATTTTAACTATGCAGTTCAGTGGCATTAAGTACATTTACAGTGTTGTATAACTATCACCTCTAGCTCGTTCTAGAAGTTTTTTTATTATCCCAAAAGGAAACCCCATACACATTAAACAGTCCCTCCCCATTCCTTCCTTCCCCTAGAACCTGGCAGCTGCTAATCTGTTCTCTGTTTCTATAGATTTGCCTGTTCTGGATATTTCATATGAATGGAATCACAATATGTGGCCTCTTGTGTCTGGCTGCTTTCACTTAGCACAATGTTTCCAAGGTTCATCCATGTTGTAGCATGTGCGTCAGTACTTCATTGCTATTTATGGTTGAATTATATTCATTTTATGGATACGCCACATGTTTGTCCATTCATCAGTTGATGAATGTTTGGGTTATTTCCACCCTTTGGCTCTTTCGATTACTGCTGCTGTGAGCATTGGTGTACACATTTCTGTTTGAACCCCTATCTTCCACTTCTTTTTTCTTCCCCTTCTTCCTAGGAGTGGGAATCCTGGGTCATATGGTAGCTTATGTTTAACTTGTTGAGGAACCACCAAACTGTTTTCAACAGCTCTTGCACCATTTACATTCCAACTAGTGATATATGAGAGTTTCAATTTCTCCACATCCTTGTCAATTCTTGTTTTCCTTTTTAAGAAAATAACCATCCTAGTGGGCGTAAAATGCTATCATTGTGGTTTTGGTTTGCATTTCTCTAATGACTAATGATATTCAGCATCTTTTCATGTGCTTGTTGGTCATTTGTATATCTTCTTTGGAGAGATGTCCATTCCAGTTCTTGGCCCATTTTTTAATTGGGTTGTTTGTCTTGTTGAGTTGTAGGAGTTCTGGATACTAGGTCCTTATTAGATAGATATATGATTTGGAAATATTTTTTCCCATTCTGTTGGTTTTTACAGTCAACCAATTGATTTTTATGTTATGCATAACTTCTTCCTTTAAATTCCAGCTTTAAATTCCAAACGTCAGTTTTCCAGGAATCAAGGTTCCAGTTTTCCAGGAATAAAAGTTTCACTCCAGACTTATAAAATCTCTTCTTGTTATGCGGGGTTTTTTTAAAATGGTGTTTTTTTGTTTTTATATTTATTTATTTAATTAATTTATTTGGTTGCACTGGGTCTTTGTTGCGGCAGGCGGGCTCCTTAGTTGCAGCTCGCCGGCTTACTTAGTTGTGGCATGGGAACTCTTAATTGTGGCATGCGTGTGGGATCAAGTTCCCTGACCAGGGATTGAGCCCCGGCCCCCTGCATTGGGAGCTCGGAGTCTTAACCACTGTGCCACCAGGGAAGTTCCTTGTTATGCTGTTTCTGTTAAATGTGTAACTTGAAGCTGGACAGATAAAATATAATTCCTTATAAACCAAAGTTTATTATGCTTGAGCTAAAACATGCACAATTCTATGTTAACTAAAGGTTCATATGTAGGTATTCAGAGGGCTGGCTAGCAGTCTTAGTCTTTTTTTTTTTTTTTTTTTTTTCC